CTCTCTCTCTCTCTCTCTCTCTCTCTCTCTCACTTTTTCCCTATTGTCTGTCCTTTATTCTGCTCGCTATTTATGTTCAGGGTTTCTCATTCAAGAGAAACCACGTACTGTCTGAGCCGTGTGTCCGGTTCCCCTCACCTAGCATCGTGGTCCCGGGCACATCCATTCTCCCGGGCAGGACTCCGTTTATCCTTCCGTAAGTAGAGCAGTGCTCCACGGCGTGTGAGTGCCGCACGCTCCGTGCCCCTTCGCTGGTGGAGGCGCAGGCTGCTTCCAAGATGTAGCTATAACGAGTTGTGCTGCTCTAAACGTGCTATCACTGTGCTGTGTAATGCAGTAATCCGGTGTTTTAGAAACTCCCTTGGGGAGATACCTAGGAGGGGAATAGCTGGGTCAAATGGATTTTTTTGGCATTTTGCAATATCTACTCTACATTTTAATCTTATTTGCTCTTTCAGTTTCTCACACTGGGAAGACAATACGATATTTGCACATATGTGCCTGGTTTATGTCACTTATGAGTATGGTCTCCAGTGGATCCATTTGCCTATAAAAGTCTCCAGTGTATCCTTCTTCATGGCTGAGTAGTACTCCATTGTATAAAAAGACCACATTTTCTTATCCATTTCTCGGTTGATGGGCATTTGGGCTGTTTCCATAATCTAGCCACTACATATTGTTCTGCTCTAAACATGAGTGTGAATGTGTCACTGTGGTGTGATATTTTTAATTCTGGGGAGATACCCAGCAGGGCAATAGCTGGCTCAAGTAGAACAGATTCATGGACTCTTGTTCTTTGCTAAACTTGTTTTATATATATATATATATATATATATATATATATATATATATTTATTTAAAGCTCGGGCAGCTTTTTGTTGGCATCTTTTGTAAACTCCGTGATTACTGCATTTATTATTGCCATTATCTGATGAGTTCTATTTTCTGTGAGCCTGCTAGGAACCTCATTGTTCTCATTTTTCAGACCCTCTGTCATCCTTTTTTTTTGAGACAGGGTCCCACTATGTAGTTCAGGCTGGCCTTGAACTCACTGCATAGCCCAGGCTGATTTCAAACTCTCAGCAGTCCTCCTGCCCCCACCTTCAGAGTGCTGGGACTCCAGTCGTGCACCACCATGCCTGTAAGCCTTTCACACACTTAGGTCATGTGGCTTTTGTTTTCATTCACTGAAGACCCATGGATGCGCTTTGGTGCTTGGTAGTTTTGGGGAGCATTTTGTTACCATTTTTGTCCTGTTTCTACTGTTGTATACTTTTTAAAATTTTGTGCTTCTTATGTTGTCACTTATATTTATTTATTTTGCAGAATCGGGGTTTGAACTCAGATCCTTGTGCTTGCCAGGGAAGCACTTATTCCACTGAGCCATCTCCCCGGCCCCTGTTGTCACTTATAGTGGGTAGACTTTGTTGCTAGTATAGAGATTGCGTTAAGCCTGTTTTTCAGTGCTGCACGCAGGCGTGGCTAACGATAGTCCGTTGGCTCACAAGATCCGATCAGCTCCACTATGGGGAGGTAGCGACAGTGTAATTGACCCAGCACCCACTTCTCTGGGAATGGGCCATACTTGTGTCACAAGGATAATCCTGGTATTGGGGTAGAGAAAAAACTATTAGCAACAACTTTGTGACCCTGGCAGTATCAAGAACATTGGCAACAGTAATGCTGTCCAAGGCTAACTGGATACGGACACGCTACAAGAACCAGTAATGTCACTCTTACCCTTAGAAATCTACCAACGATATTGACATACAGCAAACGTCGGTAACATGTCAGAGTGAGATGACTATGCCTCTACTAATGATAGAAAATAACTCATCAGTACTAACATGGAGTTAACTACCTAACGAGCAGTAAAGCTCAATGATGTACTACTTAAAGATGCAGGGTTGGGGCTGGTGAGATGGCTCAGTGGTCTAAAGCACCTACTTAGAACAAGCTTAGCAAAGCACAGGGACCGCGGTTCAATCCCCCAGCACCACGTGGCAGCCGGCCCCGCCCCCTGGTGGGCTGAGCTGGCCACACACAGACACAAAATAAATAAATAAATAAATATTAAAAAAAAATAAAAAAAATAAAGATGCAGGGTTTGGGGAATGGGAGAATGCGAAAAGAAAAATTTGAAAAATTAGACAGTGGGAGATGAGAGAAAAGTGACACAAATGATCCTACCTTGAAGTAGAAGGATATTTATAGATCTGGATAAAGGTAGCAGAAAACAAAGGGATAGAAGATAAAAGAAGAGAGAAGTAATACAGAGAATAAAAATAGAAAAAAGTTAAAAGAAAAAGAGTCCAAAAATACTGTTTTTGATATATTTTTAAATTTATTATTATTTTTAAAATTTCCCTTTCTCTCTTTTGGAGCAGAAGGCCTCGTGGCATCCGGAAGTTCAGTCCTTGCCCCCCTGTTTTGAATGAGTGGTTTCCTTGTGGGTCTGCATTTTTGGAGTCCGGCAGGTCTGACTTTCTCGCCAGTCTTTCTGGTCTGAGGCCCTCCTGCTTGCCCAGGCCGTCGCCGTGTCCACACTGAGAGGGGTCCGAGGCCCTCCTGCTTGCCCAGGCCGTCGCCGTGTCCACACTGAGAGGGGTCCTTGCTCTAACTGCTGGGCACGTGCAGGCGGTGCACGCAGGTCCGCGCAGGTCCCAGCGCCCAGGCCTGTGTGGACAGGCCCTGTGGTGTGGGCTGTGGCCTTCGCGCTGACCCGCGGGGCTCAGGGGTCCACGGCCAGCCTGTCCACTCGTGCCCCGAGGCTGTCTCCCATGGTGCACTGGGAGCCCGGCAGTGAAGTCACCTTGCAGTTGTCCTGAGTCCCCAGGTACCCGGGTCTGCCCCTCCTGAAGCCGAGCTGATGTGTGTGCTGCCGCCGAGAGGCCCAGCTCCGGCTCAGCTCGCTCCCGCTCCCGCTGCGCGCTAGCCCGCATGTGCCCTGTCCGTGCCTTCGGATCCCCAAAATCTGTTTCTCTTTTTTCTTCCACAAATCATTTTCCAGTGTCTGGATTCCGGGTCTCCGAGGGGCTGGATTGTCCTCCCAGTCACCACTTCTGTGTCTTGGTTCTCTGTAGACCCATCTTATTTATAAAGAATGAGCAAAAAGTATTAATATGTAGTGAATTTCATTCATTTTCAATGAAATAAAACAAACGTGAATGTCTTTTTTGGCCTCACGGATGCATTTGTCTTAGTTTTCTCTCACGTAACGTGATGGTATTCATCTTAACACTGCTGTCTTCAAAGCAGGGCTCTTTGGAGTCTGATATTCATCTAGTTTTCAGCTCTAGTCTTACTCTAGTCATTAAATTTTCACTGTTTTATCTGCATTTACTATTCTAGAATCTTAACCTTGAAATAACGTTTTAGGTTTTGAAATCAAAGCGGAGAGATTATTGGAAGAACTTGATAATGGAGTATTGTTATGTCAGCTGATCGACGTTCTTCAGAGGATGGTGAGAACCTGCGGTTCTGCAGAAGCCGGGGTAAGGACAGCAGCGACACTCTGCCGTGCTCCCGAGCAGCCTGCTCGTGTGCATTTCCACCACTTCCACAGGCGCGGGCTTCTCTCCTAGATCTGGCTGTGACACCTGGCACGACTGAGTTAATCTTTCTGGACATCTGAAATGCTATTTGAACGTGGAAATGCTGACATTTAACTTGTAGAGTTTGTTTATGAGTGTTCATTGCAATCAGATGACGCAGTGCGGCTGGTACCCCGTATTGTGCTTGACTGGCAGGTTAGGTCCTCGGCAGCTGCCCCTTACGGTAGACTTTCCTTACAGGCCTGGCAAGGGCTGCAGGAGAGAAGATCTTGCGACACAGTCCCTGCATCTCAGGAAGCAGCTGCTGTCGCTGTTTTCCACATATTGCCTTGGTGCTGAACCCATCGATATTAATTAAATTAATTTTAAAAGCTAATTTTAAAAGCTAACCTCTATTGACCCTCAAGCCATGACTCGAAGTTGATCAGGTTTCTTTCTTTTCATCCCATGTGGGTATTTCCAAGAGTTGGAGGTCTTGCTGAGTGTAGTTGCGCACACCTGAAGTCCTAGCTGATTAGGAGGCGCAGGCAGGAGGGCTGCGAGTTCAGGGCTGGCCCAGGCAACTCAGTGAGACACTGACCAGAAATCAAGTTAACAAGGGCCGGTGAGATAGCTCAGCAGACCAAGTGCCTGCTTAGGCAGTCGCGGGGACCGGGGTTCGATCCCCAGCACCACATGCCAAGCCAGCACCGAGTCAGGAGGTTGAAACCAGGAAGATCGCTATGAGTCCAAGCTGCAAAGTGAAACCCTGCACCAAATATACAATAAATAAATAAACAAAGTTAACAAATAAATAATAACTGCTGGGGATATAGCTTAGCAGTAGAGTGTTTGTCTAACTGGTGGGAGTTCTTAGTTTGGTCTAGTACCATAAAGAAAAAAAAACGTTTAGAGCCTGGGTGCCAACAGTCTATTAGCGGGCCAGTCTAGAGGCCAGTGGCTATGTCTACTCTCACTGTCCTGCGTATGGACATATCTACATACGCACTAAACATATGTATATACATACAGATAAGTCTATTTGTGTGTATAAAAACATTAAAATAGACTCCTTGATACATAATTCTCTACTCCTAAGAATTTGAAGAAATCATAAATTCATACATATGGTAGTACAAAAAGTTAGGAACAACCTCATATACATTAGTAAGAAGTTTTAAAGCATAATTATGGTACCTAGTCATATATAGGTGTAAGCTGTTTATGATGAATGTGATCATTCTGGATATCTAAAATGTACAGGTAAAATCTGATTGGGAGAAAATTAGGGTCTCTAGATACACTGGGATATTACACAGGTGCAGAAGTAATGATTTAAATCTGTTATTTTGAGCCCTAAAAGATGCCTGCCCTATCATTATGCATGCTTGTGCAGTGGGTTTATGGGGTGCTGCAGGTATGGCTCTGTGCGCGGCTTTGTGTAAAGCGAAGTTACGAGACGCCCGCGAGGACATCAGCTCGTGCTTCTCCTGTCTGTATGTTGCTGTACTGTGGAACTTTCTGTGATGATGACGTGTTCTGTCTTCAATTCAAAAACCTCACGGGCTATTTCGGTTCTAAAAAATAACAGCAACAAGAGGGATGTACCCGAGCTGGTCGTAGTGGCTGTCTCTAGAGAGAGGAACTAAGGGGTAGAGGTGGAGAGAGACTCACGGTACCCACTGTGTTCAAAAGAATCATGTTCGTGGGTTCTATTTTCAAGCAAAAATTTGAAACAATTACTAGTCCTACCTGAAGCTCAGCAGGATTATCTCAATACTCCTGGGCCAGACAGTTTAAAGAAAGGATTCTATGGAACTTAGGCCATCAATGTGCAAAGAATTAAGCATGGCTAACTACTTCCTTGTTTGATAATTTCCTCATGAAATCAGAACTGTTTTTATGAATCTGTAAGTAAGGAAGTGCGCAAAAAGGAGTAAGACTATTGACTGTGATGTGGCAGTAATTTTGTCTGTCTTGAACTATGTTAGGAGAGATACACCACTGTGCTGTGCTTTGGAATGATGAAGCTATTGGTTTATCTTATTAAGATTCCTGTGTGATTTTCAAAGGCAGATTCTGCAGCCCTGACCTTATTGCTAATTTTGACAGATTGCTTTCCTAGGAATCATTTTCTGGAATATGTTTAAGCTAAAATAAATGTCACTTGGGAAAATGTCTGTTTTCCCCTGAAGTCACATACTTCTTACGCTGTATTCAATGTGTTGAGAATTTACCTTGAAACGCTAAAATGGATATTTGATAAAAGCATCCTGGATGTATTTTAAGGTGTTACCTTTATCTTTTCCAGGATTTCCCACTGAGAAAAGTGCCTTGTAAGAAAGATGCCGCTTCGGGTTCATTCTTCGCCAGGGACAACACTGCGAACTTCCTGCAGTGGTGCAGGGACATCGGGGTAGATGAGACCTACCTCTTTGAATCTGAGGGTTTAGGTGAGTTGTCACTGCTGCTACTGCTGCTGCTGCTGCTGCTCTCGATGTTTTTTATGTTTTAGGTATCCCTTATTTCTAGTATTTCTCTTTGAATAATAATTCAAAATGCCACAGCTCAGTTTCTCAGAAAAATGTAAGATAATTGAAGATCAGATACTAAATCAAATATATCAAGTTTTTCATTTCTAATGATATCCAGAATGCCTAAGAATATGATCTTGCTAAATGGATTGGCTACAGGAAGGTTCTGGACTGAGGCTCTGCTAATTAGTATTTTCATCAAGACTTACTCTACTAAGTCTAAATTACTAGTAAGATCTCTTTAATCAGATAATTACAGAAATAACAAAGCCAAATGATGTGTACTTATGGTGTTAGGTTTACCTTGTAAACAACAGCTGCCAACTTGATTATCTGAAGGATTAATATTTTGACCTTCATTTTGAAAAGTCATGCTCTCCTGAGGAATTATCCACTTATTTATTTATATTTTTTACTTCCTTAAAGTCAGCAGAGACATCTGTGTAGTGACTAGTGATAGCTATCTGATGGCTTTAGACAATACATACATATTTCAAAACATCTGTATATATATATATATATATATGCACATAAATACACACATGCACAATTCATCATGCTGTGATCTCAAGGGACTGTGGGAGTCCGTCCTGGGAGAGGGATGGGTCCCACTGCCTCTGTTTATGCTTGCTGGTTGGCAGTGGTAATGACAAGCAAACTGACTGGAGTGGGTTTTATTATAGTTGTTACACTCCCTGCCACGAGGATGCTCTTCTGTCCCTCAGTTTATGTGGCTTTGTCCCACATCTGCAGATCGTTACAGACAGTGGCGCGCTCAGATTCTAGGGACCCACGGGAAGGCAACATGCTTTGAATTCTCCTGGTCCTTGGTTAGTCTTTTTGAAAGGATGTTAAGACTGCCATTTGTTTCTATTATCAGTAAAGGTGATCTTCAACCGCCTGAAGGTCGGGACAGGACTAAATAAAGCACTGTCGATACCCGTAACTCATTTCTAGGTATTGAGCTGATGAGCTCATGTTTGTTCCTTAAAGCTCTTGGAGAGGAGCCTCTTATTTATTTATTTATTTCTTTATTTACCTTTTGCTAGCAACTTTGGGCAATTTTAAGACACAGATATGCTATTTTAAAGTAATTCTTTTAGGAGTTTGGAAAAATAAGTTTTAAATTTAGGATACATTCATGTATTTGTATGAACTAAACTCACATGTAGACATTTTTATTGCTTTAAATGATAATATTTTGTACTTTGGGTATATAATAAATGCTATGCAGAAATCAACACTTTTTTAGGGAGTGGGTAGTGGGAATCAAACTCAGATCTCACGCTTGCCGAGAGGCGCTGCGCCGCTGAGCTACATCCTGGGCCCCTCCACGGCCATTTCTGTTGGGGGAGCCAGGGCGCGTGCAATCACCACACCCAGGACAGCGCTTCAGGTGAGGGCTCAGGGTGCTCCTCCTGTTTCTAGCGAGGGGCCAGACACAGAGGGAGATGTTTCATGATTGTCTTGACAGGTACAGTTCGAGCCAGCTGGGTGGCCAGGCCTATTTTATTTTTTTCTAAACACAGTCTGTGTTTATGTGTATGATTTCTTTCAGAATTCATTTTATTTTTTAAAATTGTTATATATATATATCTATCTATATATATATATATATATATATATAGCCATCATTTTTTAAATATATTAGGTTTCTTCTTAAAATAGCTTTTTTAGGGCTGGGGAGATGGCTCAGTGGAATAAGTGCTTCCCTGGCAAGTGTAGGGGTCTGAGTTCAATCCCTGGTTCCTCAAAAAAAGAAAAAAACATTTTTAAAACTTTTTTTTGGGGGGGCGGGGAGATGGCTCAGTGGAATAAGTGCTTCCCTGGCAAGCACAAGGGCCTGAGTTCAATCCCTGGTTCTGAAAAAAACAAAAAAAAAAAACAAAAAAAAAACCTTTTTTTTGGTCTTTTTGAGACAGGGTCTTGCTATACAGTAAGGCTGACCTTGAGCTCACTTTGTAACCCAGGTTGGTCTAGAACTCTGCATGGTCTTCCTGCCTCAGCCTTCTAGAGTGCTGGGATTACAGGCATGCATCACCATACACAGCTTGTTTTTAAACATCTTAATGTAGCCTTCACGTGAGGTAAAATTCATAATTTAAAAATAGACAGTTGAAGTTTTTTAATATATTTACTATTTGTAGAATCATCGCTAATCTAATTCCAGAATATTTTTATCATCCAGAAAGAAATCTATGCCTACAACCACTTAATCCCAAGTATTCTCTTCCCCATTCAATCACTAATATATTTTCTTTTCTTTTTCTTTTTGGTACTAGAGATCAAACTCACAACCTTATGCTTGCAAAGCAGGCACTTATGCCGCTGAGCTATCTCTCTGTCTCACTAATGAATTTTCTATGGATTTGCATATTTTATAAGTAGAATGGTTCAATATATGATCTTTTACGTCTGGATTCTTTCACTTAGTGTAATGGTTCATTCGTTTATATCCATTTTTAAGAGTGAATAATATTCCAATGCCGAGACAGCACTACATTTCAACAGTATATCCACTCATCATCTGATGGGCATTTGGATTGATTTCAGTTTTTGGTAATTATACGTTATCGCTGCTGTAAACAGTTGTGTACAAGCTATTGAGTGAACATGTGTGTCTCCTTACCCTTTTCTGGTTGCTGGGACAAACACATGACATTCAAAATGAAGGAAGGAAAGGTTTATTTAGCTCACAGTTACTGGAGGTTTCAGTCCATACTCAGTTGGCTCCATGGCTCCCCAAACATCTTCTCTTGGCTAGAGGTAGCCTCAATCCCAGACGCCGGAGGAGAGGCTGGGGAGCCCCAGTGGCCAGGATGACCCACTCCACACTGCAGAGATACAGCAGGCTAGGGAAAGGGCCAGCCACCCTTAACCCAATTTAACAGCTCTGCCTCTGGCCCCTCCCCGAGCCCTGCCCCGAGCCCCGCCCCAGACCTGCCCTGAGCCCCGCCCCGTTCCTCTGGCCCCGCCCCTTGAGCCAAGCTCTACTCCGCCAGCCATATCCACTGCAGGACTTACACGAGGCTCTGAGGGGACAACTAGACACAAACCATATAACAATATGTTTTGCTTTTGCTTGCATACATACCTCTGAGGGGAATGGTGGGTCATGTGGTGATCCAACGCTTCTCTTTTCGGGAAACATCAAAGTCTTTTCACAGTGGCTCACCACATTTTCATTTGCGCCACAGTGCACAAGCGTGGCAGCTGCTCCACCGTCTCACCAGGCTTCCTCTGCTGCAGGCTGCTCCCTTGCCTGTCGTCTTTATAACCGTCGTGTGGGCTGAGTGGTGTCTCTCTGTGGTACTGGCTCCCACTTCCCTAGTGACACTCAGTGGCTTTCCGTTTGCTTAGTCACCATTAATGTATCTTCTTTGGAAATGTCTATTAAAAACCTTCGCCCATGTTTTTCTTCTAGTTGGGTCATTTATCTTTTTGTTGACATGTAAGAGGTCTTTGTAAGCTCCAGACACTTGGCCCTTATTAGGTATGATTTGCAAACATTTTTTTCTAGTCTTTGTGTCTTACCTTTTTTGTACTACTTTGAAATACAGATGTTTAAAATTTTGAAGATTAGTCATCTCTGTATACTTTTGTTTGTGCTTCTGGGGTCATCTAAAAACCACTATCTGATCAAAGTCCTGAAGATTTTTACCTATTTGCTTTTTCAAAGTTCTATAGTTTTGTCTCTTAACATTTAGATCTTGAACCCATTTTTAGTTAAAATTTTTGTATGGTGTGAAGGGTTCAAATGCATATTTTGCATGTAGGCATCCCACTGCCCCCATGCCATTTGTTGAACAGACTATATATTCTTTTCCCATTGAATTATCTTGTCATCTTTGTCGAAAATAATTGAATATAAAAGTGTAGATTTACTTCCAAATGTCCCATTCCACCCCACTGTTCCACACATACATCTCTCATGCCTGATTTTTTTTTGTGGTTCATAATATGTTTGAAATAGGGAAGCGTGAGTCTTCCAACTTGGTTTTCTTTTTCAATATTGATTTTACTATTTTGTGCCCCTTGCAATTCTATTTTAATTTTATCATTAGCTTGTCTATTTCTGGAAAGAATGACTGCTGGAATTGGATAAGGATGGCACTGAATCTCTAGGTTAGTTTGGGGAGTATTCTTACCTTCATGATACGGCTTCTAATCCGTGAACAAGGCTGCTTCTGCTCTGATGGTCTTTAATTTCTTTCAGTCATGTTTTGTTGTGTCGTAGAAGTGTTATAGTTTTGTTTATATTTATTTTTCAGTACTGTATTCTTTCTGAAGCTGTTTCAAGTGGGATGTTTTCTTAATTTTGCTTTTAGACTATTCATTTCTAGCATAGACAACTGATCTTTGTGCGCTGATGTTGTGCCTGGCCACTTCACCGAACTTGTATGTGGCCATCATAGTTTCTTAGTAGATTCTCTACGATTTTTCTATATGGAGGATTATGGCCACTGTGAACAGGACTAGTTTTCCTTTCCAATTTGGATGCTCTTTATTTTTCTTGCCTAAATACTGTAGCCCAAACCTCCAGTAGAGGGCTAAAAAGAAGTCAGAAGGGACTCCTGTCTTTTCCGTCATCTTGGGGAAAAGAGTGTCAGCATTTCACCTTTAGGAGTGATGTTAGCTGTGGATTTTTCACAGATGCCTTTTGTGCAATTGAGAAAATTTTCTTTTATTTCTGGTTTATGGATTTTTTCATGAAAGGATGGTGGATTTTGTCAGATACTTTTGTGTCTTTTTCTTTATTCTTTGGGGTTTTTTTTCTTTCTTCATTTTATATATTTGGTACAGGGTCTCACTACACAGCTTAGACTTGTAGTGATCCTCCTGTCTCAGCCTCCCCAGTGCTGGGATTACAGGCATGGGCTACTGCACCTGGACTCTGTCGCCCACTCTGCACCCCCTGGGGGTGGGGCTGGTGCCCCACGCAGGACCTGGTCCCTGTGTTTGCCAAAGCAGGCGCTTAGTCCACTGAGCTATCTTGCTGGCCCTTTTTCTCCTTTGTTCTTTTAATATTGATAGATTTCATATGTTGAAATATCTTTTCATTCCTGGCATAAATCCCATTTCATCACAATAATGAAACCTGTTTACATGTTGCTAGATTTTGTTTGTCTATATATTGTTGAAGATTTTTTTTCAAAAGAAATACTGTTTTTTATTCTTTTGATGTGTTTTCTGTAACTTTTAACTTTGGTATCGGGGAATACTGGTATCACAGAACCAGCTAGAAAGTGCTCTCTCCTGTTTGTATAAAGTTAGAGAAACAAGTTAGCACCTAGTCAAGATAGCTTAGAATAAAATTGAGGTGGTAGCTGGGTGTGGTGGCGCACGCCTGTATCCCGACACCTGAGAAGCTGAGGCAGAAGATCATGTGAGTCCAGGCCAGCCTGGGCTATGCCGCGAGTACAAAGCCAAGCTAGACTCCATCGTAAGGCCCTGTCACCAAAAAAAAAAAAAAAAAAGTCTATAAAAGGTACTCATCTTCTTGTTAGCTAGATCTTTTTAAAGTAGTTTACAGAGTTTATACAAGAAAAAAAGGTCTTTCCCGAGTCTTCTCCAAACAAGGAAGCTTGCTATCTTCTGTATTTTGTTTTGCTCTCTTAATGCCAGAGATAATTAAACTCAATATTTCCCTATTTAATGTTGCTCCTTAAAACACGTGATCTTATTTCCCACAGTTTTACACAAGGACCCAAGACAAGTGTATCTTTGTCTCCTTGAAATTGGCCGAATTGTATCAAGGTGTGTATTCCACAGCATTTCAGAATTTCAAATCATAGGCATTTTTAAGCTACTTAATTTTACTTTAGAATTACTACCTTCTACGACTGGCCTGATAGCTCAGTGGACTAAAGCGCCTACTTTGGCAGAGCTCTGGAATTCAATCCCTGGGCCTGCTCTGCTGGCTCTGCCGGCGGGGTGCCCTGAGATAGCAATTGAGAGTGGGCATGGTGGCCTGCACCTGTAATCCCAGCACTTGGGAGGCTGAAAACAGGAGAATCGCTACAAGTCTGATCTAGTAGTAAGACCCTGAACTCCCTGCCGACCCTGTCATAAATACAGGAAAAAAGAAATTACTACCTTCTAAAAAGCAATAAGAGAAATATAAATGAAGTAACATAATTTTTTATTTGGCTTTTTTTTTTTTTTGTCTTTGTTTTCTCTGTCCTACTAGCATGAGCGTAGGTCAGTGTTGGCTTTCTCCGCCAACCTTTCCTTCATTTAATATGAAATTATAAATTGGAGACTTAAAAACTTTAGATTAAGAATAGAGTGGAGGCAGATAGTCTTAGAGCAGCTTGGGCAGGCGAGGCTTCTCCAGGCAGGGTGTGATGAGGAAGCCGAAGCCTGGGCCTCTTGTGCTGCTGGTCTACTCCTCCGCTGATGTTCACGCTGCCTTTCACGATCCCAGGAAGGACACTGGGGACATCCAGAGACCGAACAGATGCTGCACTGTGCCGGTTGGGGTCTGGAGCTTTTGCCGATCTGGGAGGCAGTAGAAAGCGTTTCCAAATGTCCCAGGAAAATTAGCAGAAGAGATCATGCGGACCTTGCTTTGAAAATAAGATTTCATCTGTCTTGGTACCCTGAATGATCATATTTCCTGATTTGTTTTCAGATATGGGATTGAGCCACCAGTATTAGTAAAACTTGAGAAAGAAATTGAGCTAGAAGAGACCTTGCTTAACACTTCCGGGCCCGAGGAGTCCCTCAGCATCCCCAAGTCCTGCTGTCAGCACGCAGGGCTGCACGAGGCCGTGAGTATTGGCCACGCCTGCCTTCGGCTCGGCACACGTGCCAGCTGCGTTTACAGGAAAATGTTACGTATTCAGCGTGCATAGCGCTTGGGGAATGGGCTTTAAGGGCGATGTGTCACTGCTCATGTACGAAGGGGGGTGCTTGTGGCCTTGAGCAGTGCGGGGCGGACAGGGTGGAGCCGTCACGAGGGGTGTGAGGGCCATAAGCCGCCACCAGTAGCTTTCCCCCCCCAGGAACAAATCATTAGTAATAAACCCTTAGAAAGTGGTGCTTTGTTTTGTGGAATGTAATAAGGTTTATAATAAAACATTCAGATAGCCTTGCAGGACAAATGAAGAACACGTCAGCCTGAATAACCTTTTATCAGACCAAAATGTATTTACCTACATTATCTTATTAATACCTTTTTTGTTTGTAAATATAATAATTGAAGTAGAATAAGTAGGTAAAAAAAATACAGTTTATTTAAAATTTTTTGTAACCTTAATGATTTCTTTTTTTGTTGGTCTTTTTGAGAGAGGGTTTCACTATGCACCCCAGGCTGGCCTTGAACTCACTTTGTAGCCCAGGCTGGCCTGTAACGCACAGCAGTCCTCCTGCCTCAGCCTCCTGAATGCTTGGATTACAGCCCTGCATACTCATTCCCAGCTAAAATGATAATCAAATTAAAGGAAATATCTGGAAAATATTTTTATTAAATGAAAAATATAGTATATTATTTCCCCATTCTATATAGATGAGACAACATTTGATGATAAAAATAGTTTTTGATAGGCAGATAGACAAGAACTGGGTTCACACAAGGACAAAGTACAATATTAAAACTTCCTGATGGTCAAGGAAGTTAGAAAAGCATTTGCATGAAATGTATTAATAACCATTTGCCTCATCGGCTACCTACAAATCAGATAATTAGAGCTGGCAAATCTTGGTGCAGCTCTGCTTAGGGATGGTACTTGAGGGAAACTTATGGAAGCACCCTGAAAAAGAGACGCCAAGAGCCACTCCGCTATTTCTGTTTCATGTTTTGTAATTGGAAATGTGAAAAAGTAACATAAATGAACGTATTTATTGCCCTGTTATTTTCATGGGTGAAGAATCATAAGCAATATGGAAAACCCCTGAGAGGGCAGTGGTCAGTGAATTAGGATTCAGGGCCTCAACAGAGTAATTGCTTTCTGTGATCACTACGCAACTATGTAGCAACAGGAAAAATGCTCCTTTTGTGAAAAATATATGTGTCTGGATAAAATGCATACAAACCAGAGAGTGCAAAGGACAGGGCGGAATATAATACCATTTACACAATTTTCACTTCTTTAGCTATTCCTGCTAGTTACATTGTTAACATACAATAAATAAAAGCAGAAGAGAACATTTCTTACCCGTAGCTCTAATTTTAAAAGAAGTCTTGTTTAGGTTGTGGACTAGTGTTGATTGTACGGCTCAGTATAAGTGGTTATTTGGATAGTTTAAGTAAGGAAAATAATGACCTCTCAGATTTGCATTCTTATTATAGAAACTGAAAGTGCATCCATTCCTTGAAACGTGTGTGCAGCACAATTATTTTCAATGTCTGCCTATAAATACACGATCGATAGACAGATCCCTCAGTGTCATGTTCCGTATTCACAACAGTTATTATCTAATTCATCTTGGGGTTCTGTTAAGTATACAATTGGAATTCTACATACTGAAGAAATTTTTACAAAGTAGTGACTGAAATGAGTGTCTGCTTTAGTTAGCTTGTGTAGAGAGGTCATTCTAACAGCTGTAACCTCCACCAGCTTTACTTGATTTTTAAGCCATTTGAAGTGCATAGTGTGCGTGTATGTTTGTGTGGGAGTGTGCATGTGTGAGCACACGTGCACGCAGGCTATGAACAGGGAGAACTTTATTACACGAAATGAGTTCTTTCTAAGTACGTTGTCTTGTTAAGGGAGCAGTACAGGGAAATAAGTTGTAGGCCCTTCTCATCGGGCATCCACCATTGTCCGTTTATTTTGGGTAGACAGTGAAGACAATCAAGTAAGTTTCTCTTTGTGCTCAGCTAAATTGGGCACTTTCAAAGAGACTCTTTCCCACCTAAGTTTAATGAAATGATTTTGTTTAGATTAGTCTGTTTGACAATAATAAAAAAAATTATGATCGTGCTTTTTCAAAAGTATATTTTAGGGAAAAGTCAAATTATTTTTTTTCCCCAAATAATTTCTATAGTGGCTGATAAGTAAATTTTTCCAGACAATGATATTTCAAAAAGCAAGCTTCATTTTATCACTTTATTATGATTTCTATGTTAAAAAATATGAATTGTCAAATTCTTTTTTTATTTACTGTAGTCCTACCATGTAATTGTTTTTACTTTATTTCTAACATATAAAAGTAGGGTTTCTCCTGACCCCCTTCTCTTCAGGAGGCTATTGAAACAGAGTAAATGCTTTAGCAAGCTCTTTCTTCTTTTGTTTCTTTTTTGGCACTTGGGATCGAACTTGAGACCTTGCGCTTGCCAGGGAGACGCTTATGCTGTCTCAGTTTCTCTTTTCTTGTTGCTGGGACAAATACCCGACACCCAAAATGAAGGAAGGAAAGGTTTGTTTAGCTCACAGTTACTGCAGGTTTCGGTCCACACTTGGCTGGCTCCAAGGCAGAGCGGTGCACAGCAGCAGCAGTCTTTCATGCCGGCAGCGAAGAGCAAGAGGGTGAGCGAAGGGAGGAGTAACAGCAACAATGGCAGCAGAGAGGAGGAAGTCCGTGTCTCTTTCTCTCTCATATTACATTCAGGCTATCTGCCCAGGCTGGAGGTAGCACTCCCATCCATAATCCTAGCAGTACTAAAACCCGTAATCCCATTGGATTGTGGGTTAATCTCAAACTGTGGAAGGCCCCGCCCTATGACTGTTGGTAGCTTTGGAGGGACAACTAGACACAAACCATAACAGGCCCTATATCCCTGCTAAACTTTTTCAAGTTGAAACCTTAAAGAATTTTACCTAGTCATGGATGAATGTATATGAGTGTGTCTCTGCCCTTTTTTTGTGGGGAGGGGGTGTTTTAGTACACAGTCTACATGGTCTCACTACACAGATCAGACTCATAGTGATCCTCCTGTGTTTTCACCCTCCAAAGTGCTGGGATTACGGGCACAAGTTCCACAATGCCCAGTCTCATCACCTTCTCAGCACGCCCTGGGGGTCTGGCACAGCATCCTGGGGATCGAACCCTGGTCCCTGTGCCTGCCTAAGCTTAGTCCACTGAGCTATCTCACTGGCCCTGCCTATCTTAACAATAACTCTTGGGGCTGGGGAGATGGCTTAGTGGAATAATTGCTTCCCTGGCAAGCATAAGGGCCTGAGTTCAATCCTTAGTTCCGCAAAAAAAACAAAAACAATAACTTTGAACAAATGTAGATATCCCGACTCCCATGATATTAGTTAAAGGAAATTTCCTCATCCTGCTCTGACTGGCCCCAGGCAATGAGCCATTTTCCCTTACCAGTTAGCCAGTGCATTTTGAGTTGGCTCTCCTGTTGACAAACATGCATGCACTGTAAGCCCTCTGCACTTGGTAGAGTGCCTTCCAGGAGGCGAGCTTCCTCCCTGCGGGGTTTAGGGCAGGTTAGCAATGTTTTATCTCCATATTCATTAGCAAGTGAAGAAGAACTATAAAACAGCTAAATTGCCTTTGCGTTTTTGTCTTTGAGTTTTATTTTCCTCACTATAAAATAACATCACCTTTTAACTTTAAGCAAAATATTTTTTGTAACAAGCACCAAATTTTGCTGTTCATATTTACTGGTAGGTTAAACACATTGCTGAAGACCCTCCTTGCAGCTGTTCGCATCGATTTTCTATTGAGTACCTGTCTGAAGGACGCTACCGCCTCGGGGATAAAGTGCTCTTCATCAGGGTGAGTCCCCTGTTCTCAGCTGGGGTGCACGCAGCTCTCCTCTGGGATCAGCTGTCAGGATGGCTGCTACTGCTCAGTGTGCTTCTTTTTGCTCCCCTTTTTCTAAAAAATGGGAACAAAGGAGGATGCTATCATGGAAAAGTGTAAGCAGAAGCGTGGAGCAAGTGCTTGGCTTCATAAGTATACAGTGAGCTTGTCTCTGTCCTGGTGCACGTGATCGCGTGGCCCCTTCGCTCTCAGGAGGCGGGCATCTCACTGCTTTGCAGTGTCCTTCATTGACGCACCAGCTAATGTCTCTTCTCTCGTCTACATTGTCTTCCAATTCCTGTTTCATCGCTTTGCTGCCACACCTCACCCAGCTCACAGGCGACACCCATAGCTGGCTTTTCTCTCTTCCTTAGCTTCCTCTTTAAGGCAGTGTAAGGTAACAGTGGTGGCACCCAGAGCGAGACTGAGAGTTCCTCTTCGCAGCCAGACTTGAGACCCTACTGAGGGGACAGTTCTGAGGTCAGCCGGGCTCCCCGACAGCACCACTGGGGCTGGGAGCGCGGAATGTATTTGAGGCCAGGTCTGGAGTCCAGAAGCTCTGAGTTGTTTTTTCTCTGCAGGCATGGACTATAGTAAACTCTATCAAAGCATTTTAAAGATGAAATTGTTGTAATACATGTGAAGATAATTCTCTGAGTTGCACAGTATAACTTAGTTTAGTTGTTTGTTTTCTTCGCTGATCACCTTTTCCTAGGTTAGCAGGCGGGTTCCCCATTTCTTTTCTCTGCTTTTCCTTCCATAGTCAACACTTCCTTGGACAATGTAAGGTTTGCAATTTTGTGTATTGCTAACTCAGATTTTTTTGGATTTGAACATTTTCATTACAAATCAGAGGGCTTCTGTTGCTCGCAAATAATTAAATACTTATTAAGTATATGAATGCAGGAAAGAGACTGTCATTTTGCCTTAAAGGGGTCGAGTTCCACAGATCGCAGATAGCACACATCGTGACTGCTCGTGGCTGTTGATCCCCTCGTTTACTGATCTGTTCTCTCCTTTCTTTGGGGACAGATGCTGCACGGAAAGCACGTCATGGTCCGCGTTGGTGGAGGCTGGGATACGCTTCAAGGATTTTTGCTTAAATACGATCCCTGTCGAATACTACAGTTTGCTACACTGGAACAAAAAATTCTAGCATTTCAAAAAGGAGTTTCTAATGAAAGTGTCCCCGATTCCCCTGCCAGAACACCTCAGCCCCCTGAAATGAATCCTCTGTCAGCAGTTGATAAGTTTCAGAGACAGAATTTAAAGCCTGGGGCTCCGGCTGGTGTCCTGAGGGTGAAGGAAAAGCAGATGCGTGCGCCAGGTGCATCGAGTATGCCAGGTGCGTCGGTTACGCCAGGTGCATCGAGTACGCCAGGTGTGTCGGTTACGCCAGGTGCATGGGTTCTGCCAGGTGCGTCGGTTGCGCCTGGTGCGCCGCTGTCCGCAGCACCCACCAGAGGGAAGGCAGGCTCTGCGTCCGTCCGTCCTAGATTTCCAGATACTCCAGCCGCATCCTCTCATCCCAAGCTCAAGTCTTCCAAGGGTGCAGTGAAGAAACCACATTCTGCTTCCAACCATGCATCATCCTCCGCTGTTCATTTAACTCCAGGAGGCAAAAACTCTTGTTCGCTCGCTTTGTCGAGAACCAGCCCTGGTACCTCTGAGCCCTTGAGAAAATGTGGCGCAGCCTCCAGGACCCCTAAGGCCAAGGCCGTGCTGACCCGGGACGCGGATCTGCCCGCGTCGACGCTCTCGCCGAGTCGCTGTTCTAGGGAAGCACAGCCCAAGCCCCTGAAGCCCAGTCCCGCTTCCTGCAGGCCTGGTGCGCCTGTAGGCTCGCCATCCAAGTGCCCTAAGCTGCCTAAAGCAGATCTGTGCAGAAGGCCTAAGTCGCCTTTCCAGTCTCCTGCAAAGATGACGAAGCCCAGCCCCCACACCACCGGCGCAGGTCCAGGAGCACAGCCGCAGGGCAGAGCCCCGCAGCTGGGGGTGACCCCAGCAAAGAAACTCGGCTCAGCCATGAGCTTGAAACAGCCGCCTTCAGTGTCCTCCGTTTGTCCCCATAAAGCTGCCCAGGCACCGAAGGATAGGAAAGCAGTTTCAGTTGCCAAAAGGCCGCCCATGGACAAGAGTGCGCGCCCGAAGCCGGCCACCAGCTCCTCCAGGTCTCCTGGCCGCACCCCTCTGTCCATCGTGACTGTTCCTCAAGCTTCTGCCGAAGTGCACTCTGCCTCGAAGTCTGCGCAGCCGGCCACGAAGGGCCAGCCCGCGGCCACGGCGCCCAGGAAGCCGCCCGCGTCCCGGGGAGCAGACGGCGGCGGAGAGAAGAAGCCTGCCGCGAAGAAGAAGGAAGACGGGGACCACTACTTCGTTATGACTGGGAGCAAAAAGCCTAGAAAATGAATGCGTAGGAGTCAATTTAAGACGCGAGGGGGAAGGAGCAGGCCGTGCCAGCCTCGCGTGTTCAAAGTTGGGCCTGCTCCTGTTTGTTCACATGGGCGCGCCCCTGCCCTGCGGGAGGAGAGGGGCGTGGGGTTCCCCCCTGCGGGAGGAGAGGGGCGTGGGGTTCCCTCCTGCAGGCTGCGCTCGGGGCGGCTCTCCAGAGCTTGTCTGTCAATATCTGCCCTTTGAGGGAACGGCCAAACTCAACACTACTGGAATCCTAATTATACTTGTTATATTTTGAATAGGTATTAAGTATGGAGGCTATCTACCTGCTAATACTAACAGCGGTGCTCTTCATAGTAGTTGCATTTTAGTTAAAAAAAAAAAAAAAAAAAGAAGCAATGGTTTGACGCTTGTCCTACGGAAGGGAACTAATTTCATTTCCCGATCAGGGTTGCCTGGGCCAGCAGTGCTGTGCCCCGGTGCCTGCTGCTTATTAAGTCTTTAGATTTTCCAAATCAGGAAGAACCGATTTTTTTAAAACCTGGCTTGTATTATTAATGACAATATTTTGTTACCTAGATGTTTGGTAACAGATTAATTAATTTATAGAAATATAAGCTGAAATTTAACAAAAAATAAAGTTTTCACATATTATCTGTAAAAATTTAGACACTTTACACTTTTAGATGGATTTTGTGCAATGTCATAGGGAAAACTCAGCTTTTTGAAAAATACAGTATTTTAGTTAATTTTCTATGAAAGCAGATAGGAACTTTTACATTAAAACTTTTAATATCAGAATCATGTTTAAGCAATCTTAAAATTAAGATATAAAAGGATCTTAAAGTGATACTGTATAAAAATTATATTCTATCATTTTTTGAATCATGGAATACCAATTTTAATTAGATACTTTCAGTATTGTTAATTTCAGAATTTTAGCTGATTTCTTTAATAAAGTCATGTGGCCTTTGTTTTCCCAGGGCTGGTAAATGGCCCTTGTATACCTTGGCCCTGTGGGGGATTCCCACAAAACACATCCGGGTCCTATAAGAGCCACATAGACTCCACCCACCGAAAAGGATACTTGTAAATAGTTTATTTAAAGTACTTGGGTTATTTAAATATATTATTAATGTACTTTGACAAGTTTAAGGGTGTCTTGAATAACTTCACAGTGTTATCTCTTATCACAAGTTGCATATTTAATATTGAGATTTGTTTTTGTTTAAACTCAAATGTGTTTTCTAAAGGAGGATAATGGTTTACACAGATGTACAAAGAACATCTTAAGCTAGCTACTAATGTTCAGTTAAAATGAAACATTCATTAGTTTTGGTGTAATTAATGCATCTCTTAAATCGGACAGTCATCAGATACTTTGTTTAGTTGCTGTATTGTTTTGGATACTGAGAGAATAGTTACATTTTTCAGGAAGTAAAGTCAATGTTCAGGAGGTAAGTAGGAGCTTTCTTTTTTTTAGTAATCAGAATTATTTTATGCGCCTTTTAAGAAGGAAGAATTTTACCTTCATGGGGCTTATTCTAAGATCAAGGAACAGTTCTATATTAGTATTTTTTTAGAACTTAGAGGAAAAGAAAATGATATTGCAGCCGGCCTGTGGGTTCAAGTAGGTTTTATAATATGTAGAGACGAATTTTTGTGCTGCAAGGAGGCAGAAATAGGTACTCATAGATACTAGCATGAATTCCAGAGTTGATCAGCAAATTGCTTATTTGAAAAGTTAGAAATCAACTTACAAATCTATTCTTTAAGAAGACTGAACTTCTCTAGTTATATTCATGTTGGATGAATGTTTATATATAGCTTACTTTTATAACTTACTTTATACAGGTTTTATATGACTAAACAATACCTAAAAGACAATTTCTTCAAACATATTTTGACATCCTCCTAAAGGGCTAGTACTCTTAATCATTTTCATAGTGGTGTTTATTTCTTTGCAGATCCGAGGATTGAACTCGGGACCCTGCTCTTGCCAGGCAGGTGCTTAGTCCACTGAGCTATCTCCCTGACCCTCACTTTCACAGTTTTTAAAACAGATTTTACATTTTGAAGTTGAAGTGGAATTTCACAATAGTACAGATTTTATAAGTTTTATTTATGTTTAATAAAACAGATATTAAGTTACTTAAGTACCTGGAAGAAAAAAATAACGTATCTTTTCTTAACAATGGAGCTTTTATTTATTATTTGTGCTATAATTTGCTAATGCAACTAACATGTAGGCCTTCAGAGGAAAAGGCAACACTGATAGTTTTTATTCTGTTCAGGCTTCCGGCAGAGTTTCAAGGCTTAAGTCTTCAAAATAGCTGGATGAATTGAATGCCTTTGAACTTTCCTCTCCATACCAAGCTTCTTAATAGCAAAGGAATTTGTAAAGGAAAAAATACTGTTTCTTCTCTAGCCTCTTCTGTTCTGCTTTAAAATCTGTCATTTTTAGAAAGCCTTCGACAGCAGGTTCTTAGGACGCGTTCTTACATGCTGGATCCAGACCGACTCTACTTGAACCACGTCTATGTGTGATCCTGTATTGTGCCAGCAATATTTGTATCCAGTTTTAACTTACATTTTCTCATGTATTAAAGCTTAAGCATAAACCAAAGTCTCAGTTTGTCATTTGGTGTATTTCTAGTGCATTGTGATCACCTGATTTATGTGGGGACTTGCATACCTGAGAAGGTTTTAATTTTTTGCTATTTAAAATACCCTTTTAGGGGGCCTGCCCATTAGCTCAGTTCTTTAAGTGGCTGCTTCAACAAAGCAGTCAGGCTCAGGTTGCTGTGGTTCGATCCCCACAACTCAAGCCAGCCAAACCTGCCCTGAAGGCATTAAGAGAAAAAAAAAAAAAAAAAAAATCCAAATTAAGGGGCCAGGGAGATGCCACAGTAGAATAAACACTTCCCTCGCAAGCGCAAGGGTCTGAGTTCAATCCCTGGTTCTGCAAAAAAAAAAAAAAAAAAGGCCCTTTTATATTTGTAGAATTTATTTTTACTTGTAGGAGATTAGAAAGTGTTACCATTAAGAAGTATTTGTTCCTCAAGTTTCTCTATCTTTTTGGTGTTCTGGAAAGACTAGACTCACATTTAATAATCTTTGAGGTAAAGAAATCATTTATTAAAGTTAAATTTTCTATTAGGGTAATAGAATTACACAAGTGCTGATCCTATAATCTTTATTAAATTTATACTCTGGTGCAGTAAGAATATTTTTAAAATATTTGCTCATCTTTTCCCTATATTCATGACCAGAGCAGTTATAAAAGGTAGTTAATTAAGTGTGTATTTCCTGCGATGTTTTCAAAACAGAAAAATATAGTTTCATTTAATTTTTTCTGGATGTAAACTTTTAAAACATTTGAAATTTTGAAGAACATTAGAAAATGATTAAAACATATTTTGGGTAAGTCTAAAGATATAAGAACATGAATTTTATTTGTTTTATTGTTTTATTTGTTTTATTTTTAATTTTAATTTGTTTTATTTATTTTTTTGTGGTACCAGGCATTGAACTCAAGACCTTGTCCTTGCTAGGCAGGCACTTATACTACTGAGCTATCTTCCAAGTACCCAATTTTATTAAATTTAGTTATTTTGTAATAAACATTTTGTTCTTGTAGAAAAACAAGATTTGATCTTGAAATAATATGTTCGAAAATTTGACTACAAGGATGTCACTGAGCATGTTAACATTGGGATAGTTATAAAGTCATCTAAAGCCAAGTATATGCTTATTTAGAAACCACATATATGGTGGGGGAGTGTTTTCGTGAGTGACTGCAATGCTAATACATAATTTTGCTTTTCTGCACTTGGCCAAAAACAGTATAATGTCTGTTAAACAGACATTCTACAAGCCTCATGAATGTTACCAACTATAATTAAACTCTTATAGCTAGTCCTTTAATGTTTTACATGATATGTTTTATTGAAAAATCATCCATTTCTTAAAATTACTTTAAGTTATTTCTCACGTGATTGCATGGTGGTGCACAAACAAGACAGAATGAATAGAAGATGGCCGTGACCACTGAGGGTCCCGGAGCCGACTGTGGCAGGGCTGAAGCGCACCCACCCCCACCCAGAGGCCCTTCTAGGACCTGAGAGCGTGGAGGGTGCCTCGGGAGGTGGGAGGGCGATGAGGCCCCATCGTGTTCAGGATCCTGAGACGAATGTGGCACTTTGCAAGGTATAAACCCTTTCGATTGCATAACACTGTAAGAACCAGAAAGGCAGGAATCCTAGCTGCCTTGCTTGTGACTGGATTCCCAAGGCCTCAACCAATGTCTCGCACATACTCAGCATTCAGCAGCCAGTTGTGAAGACAGAAGTTAATGAGCTCACTTCTTACAGATGAAACTAAAGCTTTAGTAAGCTTAGTAAAATAAAAAGTGCCTACTGGAATTAATTGGAAAAAAAAATCCTACATTATTGTTGAATTACTCCTTATGTTGATGTGGCTCAGAAAATAAGATTTATGTGGTGTTGAAACAATCTGAAATATCACCTGAGTTTTTATTTCTTAGAAAAATCTTAATCTTATTTTTATTACCTTTTATTAAATATTGTAAGTGAAGAATTAGAGTTTAGTATATAGTGAAGTTTTTAGTTTGATTAGCAATTATAGAATGCCCATGTTTAAAGCACTGTTTTTGGAACACTGAATTAGTGTATTCAGTCTTCAAGACAATAAAAGAAAGGTGCTCTGTAAATATTTAGTGGATAAAGGAATAAAAAAGTTAAATCTAGCATGAAATTCATACATTAGAATTAATATAACTTTTCTGATAAAGTAGTGGAAGTAGCTGTTGGTGAAAGCTGATGCAGGCAGCCTTAGAACCCTAAAACTTGCCTTTTAAATACATCTAAAATTAAGTGACTGTCCTCTGCATCAAAGGCTTAGGGTTGTTTTTTTTTTTTTTCAAAAGGAATAAATATATTTAAATTTCTCTCACATAGACTTGAACATATGATACAAAGTTGTTTTGTGGATTCCTTCAGTAATTCATTGTACCATGGTGTGTGCAGGAATCCAACAAATGACTCTTGGAGAATAGGCCACACTTTGCTGTGTATGGGAAGAGCAGTGGAATATGACATTTGAAGTTTTATTTTAAGCCCAGGCATTGAAATAAAATGAACGTGTGCCTTCAAACTGAGCTTTCCGGGAGTTTCCATTTACCTCAAGCATTGGGAAGATATTTGGAGCCCTAAGAGGATAATCCAGCATGGGGTGGGAGCCTGCGCTGTGCCTTAACCCTATCGGTGCCTCCCCCACCCCCGTTCACAGTTCCCTCTTCCATCTCAGTTTAAATGTCACTTGCTCAGAAGGTTCAGATCCCTGTGCCAGTGTTTGGCGCCTCCAGAGTACTTTCTTCCTGCCTACTGTCTCCTCACTGCAGCAATCTGATGCTAGAGTTTCCCATTTGTCTTTGGCCACCTTGGAGTGGGAACTCTGTTCTACTGAGCGCTACATCTCCTGCACTCAGTACAGAGCCTGAATGTGGAAGAGTGAGGGAAATACCCACTCGCTCACAGAAAGAAACCCACAGGAACAGAAGTGAGCTTGTAGCTTAATTTTGTTGACTCACTTACAGCCAAGAATTTTTTTTTCCCCTTGAGGAAATCTCATGGGTGAATTTGAAACAAGTAAATATAACCTGGTTATTTTTGGAGAGGAGAGGGAAAAAAAAAGAGGGCAGAGATAAGAGAAACCTTGGCGCTGTGGATTTCTTCAGTACTATTAACACTTACTAGAGGTAGTGATAGTTTTATAGGAGAAAATGGTTTTGATTTTAATACTTAATTTTAGGGCTGTGAGAGAGACTACAGAAGGCAAAACAAACTGTTAAGGTATAGATCTTTTTTTTTTTTTTTTTCAGAACCAAGGATTGAACTCACACCCTTGCGCTTGCCAGGGAAGGGCTTATTCTACTAAGCCATCTCCTCGCCCCTAGGGTGTAGATCTAAAGTGCCCCAAAAGTCTCATGTGTTCAGAGGTGGGGCTTTTGGAAGGTGATTGGATCCTGGGGTGCTCACTCTGAAAAGGATTTCTCCACAGATGAATTCAGAGATGAGAGTGGTGGTAGGAGGGTGGGGCCTGGTTGGAGGAGATGGGTCACTGGGGGCGTGACGGGGAGGGTGGAGTCTTGTCCTTCCTTGGCTGCCTCACCACTGTAGGTTGTTTGTTGAGCAGTGCTTCTCCACCGTGCCCTTCTGCTAGCCCCCTTCTGCCCTGGAGCAAGATGACTGTGAACTGGACCCTCTGGAACCGTGAGCCCAGTAAACCTGTCCCTCAAGCTGTGGGCATCAGTTGTTTTGCCTCAGGGACTGGAAAGTGATTCATACTCACGTTGACTTAGATTAACAAGCCTAATTCCATCTTCACAGGGAACCAAAGAGGGAGCTCAGGCAAAAAGTCAAAATAGTAGAGGTAGTTGCGGTTATGTGCTTCATGAGTGTGCAGTGTTTTGAGTCTAGCACAGCAAATTCCTTGGATTATTTGACTTAAAATTGCATCTGAAGCAATTTAATTGGCCTCAGTGCAATCAACACCAATGGATTCATTTGCTCATGTAGCAAACTCATTTTTTCCGAGTGAGCACTTGACAGCATCTATTCAGAGACCAGGGATAGAGTGGTAAGACTAAGCACAGTTCTCAAGGAGAGTACAGTCTTCATCCCAGTGGCTTACGGACGAAAGTGTGGTAGGCTGTAGTCTGAGAGCATTTCACTCTTGGGATGAAAGACATCTGTGAGAGCAGTCTGTGCTTGCTCATATTGCTTCAGACTGGGAGTCCCCATTAAGAAAAGAAAAACAAAAAGAAACGCTATGGTTTTTGTTGCATCTGAGCCTCAAAACAGCCTTTCCACTCCGGAGTGTTACTCAGGAGGCAGAATAATGAGTCAGGTCCTGAACAGGTGACTGAAGCACAAAGGAACCTGAGCGTCCTCTGGGAAAGGCCTTGCTTTAAAAATCAAGAAGGTTCGCCTGCGTCGAGCCGGAGCTGTAGACTCTGACGAGCGCCCCCGCCCTCGACCCCGCCCGCTGCCGCCATGCCCTTCTCCAACAGCCACAACGCGCTGAAGATGAACTTCCCCGCCGAGGACGAGTACCCTGACCTGAGCTGCCACAACAACCACATGGCCAAGGTGCTGACCCCCGAGCTGTACGCCGAGCTGCGCGCCAAGAGCACGCCGAGCGGCTTCACGCTGGACGACATCATCCAGACCGGCGTGGACAACCCGGGCCACCCGTTCATCATGACCGTGGGCTGCGTGGCGGGTGACGAGGAGTCCTACGATGTGTTCAAGGCGCTCTTCGACCCCATCATCGAGGACCGCCACGGCGGCTATCAGCCCAGCGATGAGCACAAGACCGACCTCAACCCCGACAACCTGCAGGGCGGCGACGACCTGGACCCCAACTACGTGCTGAGCTCGCGGGTGCGCACGGGCCGCAGCATCCGCGGCTTCTGCCTGCCCCCGCACTGCAGTCGCGGGGAGCGCCGCGCCATCGAGAAGCTGGCGGTGGAGGCCCTGTCCAGCCTGGACGGCGACCTGGCCGGCCGGTACTACGCGCTCAAGAGCATGACCGAGGCGGAGCAGCAGCAGCTCATCGACGACCATTTCCTTTTTGACAAGCCCGTGTCGCCGCTGCTGCTGGCCTCCGGCATGGCCCGTGACTGGCCCGACGCTCGCGGAATCTGGCACAATGACAATAAGACCTTCCTGGTGTGGGTCAATGAGGAGGACCACCTTCGAGTCATTTCCACGCAGAAAGGGGGCAACATGAAGGAGGTGTTTACCCGATTCTGCACCGGCCTCACCCAGATCGAAACCCTCTTTAAGTCCAAGAACTATGAGTTCATGTGGAGCCCACACCTGGGCTACATCCTCACCTGCCCATCCAACCTGGGCACCGGGCTGAGGGCAGGCGTGCACATCAAGCTGCCTCACCTGGGCAAGCACGAGAAGTTTCCTGAGGTGCTCAAGAGGCTGCGGCTGCAAAAGCGAGGCACAGGTGAGCAATGGTGGCATCGGCGCCCCCGCACACTTCCTCCACACTGCTGACCCAGCCGTCCCCCCATCCACAGGTGGTGTGGACACAGCTGCCGTGGGTGGGGTCTTCGATGTCTCCAACGCAGACCGCCTGGGCTTCTCGGAGGTGGAGCTGGTGCAGATGGTGGTGGATGGGGTGAAGCTGCTCATCGAGATGGAGCAGCGGCTGGAGCAGGGCCAGGCCATTGATGACCTCATGCCTGCCCAGAAGTGAAGCCCGGCCTGAGCCGCCACCAGCCTGCCGCTTCCTAACTTATTGCCTGGGCAGTGCCCGCCATGTGCCCCTGATGTCCGCCGCCTGGCAGCTGAGCCCTTAGCCTCGCTGTAGAGACTTCTGTCGCCCTGGGTAGAGTTTATTTTTTGATGGCTGAGCTGTTGCTGGTGCTGAAATAAACTAGGGTTTTGGCCTGAAAAAAAAAAAAAAAAATCAAGAAGCACATCTCCAACTAAAGCTGTTTCTCTAACTCCATAAAATGCCCCCTCAGTTGGCTGGTCTCTTCAGGCTTGGCAGTTGGAGATGTGGTGTGCCCTGTGATGTGACCTCTCCACGTCTTGTCCTGCTGCTCCAGGAAGTGACAGAGGAAACACGTCCTGTAAAGTGCATCCCCGAGCAACACTGCTGGCTCTCTGCACTTGCCTCGGGAGCCTGTGGCCCAACGACTCCAAATGCCATCATGGGAAACCCAGTAGATTTAGTTCAACTCTTTCAGTTTCAGGAGATGGAGGTTCACTTCAGCTTCCTCTTCATAATGTTCTGTTTCATGGATACACACAACCAAAGGGACAGCAGGACTCTGCCAACAACGAGAAATTTGTGGAGAGCCAGTCTCATGGAAGAATAAAGAGTGCTCAGAAGCCTGGGAATTCTAGAGACGGGCAAACACCTCTCCCCGGATCCCAACTCCTTGGCACTCTGCTGTACACACACACTTGCTGGCCTCCAAGTTCCTACTTTGTGTGTTTTCTTGCACTAAAAAAAAAAAAAAAAAAGCAAACAAAAATTACCTGATTATCATTTCCTAGTTCAAAATTGAGCAAGGACCTGATTAGCTTATTTCCATTGTCCTTCTTAGGAGGAGTGCTTTCCGAGATGAGCCACTGCATAGGCAACCAGTTATCCAGTGACTTGGCTGCCCTCCGATTATAGACGCATCGCCTTAGAGACTCTGTATGTGAATGATAGGCCAGATGGAGGTAGACCATGGCGCTCCCAGCACAAGGAAGCGCTTGGTTCCTCTGTGTTGGCAGAAGTCGCACCAGGCATTTTTTTCTTCAAAAGCTGCACACGAATGCTTTGTACAGTACTCTCGGAAAGCAAGCCCAGAATTTTATGCTTGTAGCCTGAGCTGTGTGAGGAGGTCTTCTGCGTCAAATGACCATCGAGTCCCGGCACTGACCTTTTAGGTCATTGAGACCAATGTGCTGGAGACGTGTGCCGTGGGTGCTCCCAAATGCAGACAAGGCCATTCAGAGGTTAGAAATTCTCAAACGTGTGGCTATTATTAAGGGTAAGTATAATGTCCAAATGATAGTTTCTGGCTTTAGTATGAATTGATAAATTATTATGGTGGTCACCTAACATGGCTGAAGCCCCTAAAACAACAGCTTATCTTCCAATGACCACTTCCTCCTTCTCCCCCAGCCCAGTCCTGGATACATTTTCCTCTCACCTTCCCCATGCACACAGGAGAGACCTCAGTCAGCTCCTTACATGTAATTGAAACTGACCCTCGAACTCCACCCCTAGCAAACACCCATAAAAGCCTCAGCTTTCTTTGTCTCAGGGCCTCGATCCTTTCCATGTCTTTGAAGTTAATAAAGGCTTCTTCTATTTTTCATATCTCTTTACTGCATTGCCCGAAAAACATAACACCAAATGAGCAAGGTTGTGTTTTGTCCCTGGGTCCTGGGGAATCACTAACCTTCTATGAATGGGCCACATTGGGATTTCCCAAATTCCTTTTCTTCAGAAGAGGAGACAAAATGTTCTAGGCCCTCCCTGCTATGGTTGGCATCTGGCTGCTAAGGCTTACATTAAAGTCTTGGTCCCAGCCCACAGCACTGTCGGGAGGTGATAACACCTGTAGGAGACAGAGCCTGGTGGATGTGGTCAGGCCCCCAGGGCTGTGCCTCGAGGAGGATGTTGTCATTCCAGCCCTTCCCGTTTCTCTTTGCTTCTGGAGTTCTAGGAGATGAACAGGCTGCTTCTCCCACAGCAGCTGGGCCGTCACCATGGACCGAAACCTCCAAAGCCAGGAGCCCAAATAAACATTTCTTTCTTTTAAATTGACTCATCTTGACTATTTGTTGCAGTGACAGAAAACTGACTAGTATACTCACATGAGCCACTCTCTAGAAGCCAATCCAATTTTTACACCCCAGGGTCAAAAATTGCTTCAATTTAATCATCCCATTAAGCTGCCAGTCCTACAGTTTGTCAGTTTACAGCAGTGAATCGATTACCTTTCCCTGGTGGTAGTGTGGAATTTTGAAATTTTGTCCCAATATGACTTTCAGCGAGTGCTTGAAAGTACTCAAGGGCGATTCCATGTTCTGGGTCTGTTTTCCCTCCTAAGGAATGCCTCCGAGATGAAATGGCGCAAGTGTAGGAGACAAGCGAAGATGGAGGTTATGTAACAGCACTGACCTTGGGCCGGCGGAGGTGCTAACTGCTCACTGCTCACCTTGCCCGCTTGCCTCCTCGCAGAGGCGTGGCCGTTCCTCATGCACGTCCTCAGTGTTCAGGCAACTATGGAGATAAGCCACTGCCAGGTTTCCCCACCATCAGCCAACGCCTGCTCCTACATCCTCAGTTTCCATTCTCCTAGCCTTTTCCCGCAATTCCCCAAACGCACTCAAGCTGTCCTCCTTAGCATCGTCTTCCCCACTCCTTCACCACAGTAACTTAGGGGCTACTGGGCCAGGCCTTGCTGCAGCAGCAGTAAGCGGGTGTGGCCAAGGGTTGCACCAGCTGCGCAGCAGGGGCGGCTGTGCTCTGCTCATCACTGCTGTGCAGGGACACACGCTGATGAAGGCACCCTCTTGAAAGCCGCTTCAACCGTAACATTGGCGGGAAGCAGGCGGTGTGGGAAGGGCCAGCTCCTCCTCCCCGCCTCAGCTCCTCCTCCCTGCCTCAGCTCCTCCTCCGCCCCAGGTCCTCCTCCCTACCTCAGCTCCTCCTCCCTGCCCCAGCTCCTCCTCTCTGCCTCAGCTCCTCCTCTGCCTCCGTGCTGGCTTTTCTGATTCTCTTCCTGCACTCCTAGTTGCCAACTTGACTTTCGCCTCTGCCCTTTTCACATGGCTCTTCCCTAAGGAGCATTCCTTCGGTCTCTTTTCTTTGACCAGATGCTTTCTGTTTGGGCAGTTTCTTCCGAATGTGGTTTCCAGGACACTACATGTGAGCGGCTTCTAGATCTTCCTGGCAGCCCAGTTTCCCCGAGCCCCCTTTCCACTGGTCAGTGCCATCAGCCTGTATTACTATCTTAAAAATCTCTCACTAAAAAGGAATTTTCCATCTCCACAAATATGTATTTCCTCCTGACTTCTCTGTTTCTATTCCTGTCTCCTTCCCCACCACAGACTGAGACTGAGGTTACTTTAGAGTGTGCCTGAAATCCACCCTCCTCTTCTTGTCACTGCCAGCGGCCATGGCTTCCTTGCCCTCTTCCTGAAGCTTGCTAATAGCTCTCGCAGTGCATGGTGGGCAAGCTCTCTGGCACTGAGTTACACCTCCAGTCCCACAATAGCTCCTTGATCGTCCTTTTAACTTCTTTCCACGACTCAAAGCTCTGCATGGCACAACTCAAGGGGGCGCCATTCACAATCTATCCTAGGTGAAGGGCACTTCCTGGAGGTGCAATAGTCCTGCAGGCTCGGTCCACATGCCCTTCCATGCTCTGCCCATTGCAATCTGCCTACAGCTCAGCTGGAGCCCAACACACCTCTGCTCAAAACTCTTCCTTGGTCTCTCATTCTGACCTGAGCCAGGACCGTGCTGCCTTGGCGGTATTTCACCCCCGATTGCAGTGGAATCGCCCTCCTTCTGCGGGATTGCCGTAGCTCCGCCATACCGGTAGCGCATTCTGTGCTGCTGCCCAACGATCTGAGAACACACTTCCTGCTCCGTGAGTGAGAAGGTACTTCTTCCTCGAGGGAATACATTCCCAAGGACTCATCGTTCGCAAATGAGGCAAACATGGGGTCAACGTGGGCTGAGTTTAACAAGAGAATGCTGTCAATGAAAACTTGTACAGGCAGAGCTGGATGCTGAATCCATCAGAGAATTGTGGGAACACACACAAACACACACACACACACACACACACACACACACACACACACCATCTTCCCACTTTTCCCACTTAAGGAAGCCGAAACCACAGCAGGCCTGTCTGGCGAGAGCTGGAGCCAAGGGAGAGAGGAGCTGCTGCCAGAGCTGCAGCCTCCAGCCACGAGGAGAGGCTCTCCTGCTTCTCCCTTTCCCGGTCCTCTAACGGCCCACTGGGACCCTCCCTGGCTAAATCTGAAGTCTGCAAAGCTTAGCTGGCAGGGCTCAGAGCAGAGGGCAGATGGGATAGGGAAGGGTCTGTGAGCCACTGCAACCAATCAGCCTGAGGTTCGTTTGGCCACTCAGGGGTGGGAGGGTGGCTCAGTGGTAGCGCGCTCCCCTAGCCTGAATGAGGTTCTGGGTTCAATTCCCCTCCACTTCACACCAAAGTCCCACACCAGTAAGTGGTGGAGTTTGGTCTTGAACTTGTACCTGGAGCTCTAATTCTGCCACCGCACGCTACAAGGTGGCACCAAAGAGCATTCTGGCTGGGAGGAAGTACCTGTGAGCAAAGGCACACACAGGGTATTCTGGGATGTATGTAGAAATAGCAGAGTTCGCTTGGGCCGCGGTGAGGGGCGCTGGCAGGAGAACAGAGAGGAACGGAAGTGCATACCCCGGAAAACCGGAAGGGTCCGATTGAAGTCGCCTCTGTCCAGGAAGTAAAGCGGAAGTTGTGGAAAGTAAAGCCAGAGTCCTGGCAACGTAGCGATAGCTGTAAAAGTGTCGCAACGGGAAGGGAATGTTTGGACTCCATAAAGTGAAATGATGCTAAAAAATAAAAATTAAAGACACCATACAACAGTGATACACAGACAGCCATGCTTGTAGCATAATTCTTGATAGCTAAATTTTAATAGCAGCCAAGGCGTCCACCAGCAGATGAATAAATGAAAAGCATGACATTTGCACACAGGGAGTGCTGCTCTGCCATAAATAAGAAAAAAAAAAAAAGCTGACTCATTTGTAAGAAAATGCATACACCTTGAGAACATAGAGTTAAATGAAATAAATCAGACACAGAAGCTTAAGTATCACGTGGTAAAAACCAGAAGTATAAAGAACAAAAGATAGATAATACG